GGGTCATTCCATTTACATAAAGAACTTGCCCTTCAATGTGATACCTGCACAGCTGGAGCAGGAGTTTAAGAAGTTTGGCCCCATCAAGCAAGGGGGTGTCCAAGTTAGAAACAATAAGGTCGGTTTCCGGCACATTGAAATTGAATGAGTAATAGATTATATTCTATTTCAACATCTTTTTGGAGATATATTTACATTCTATTTCTTCAGCAACAGGGATACAGTTTTGGTTTTGTTGAATTTCTGTTATTGAGCTCCGTGAATGATGCAATTCAGGTATGGTTCATGTTTGTTATATATGTCTATCGAAAGAATGTTCCAGATCATCCGTTTCTTTTGGTCTACCCTTTTTACTACCCTTGTTATCAGGGAGGGTTTTGAATTCATATGTGGGATCTGTTAAATGTTCTTGGAACAACAACCCTACCACAACTCTTTCAACCAATTAAGGGGCAACAGATTTTCATCAAGAGCAGTTTTAGTTTCTCACAATTTTAATTTCTTCTTATGTACAAGCTCCAAATGTAGGAAAGTGCAATATAGTCTACCGTCAGGTACTAATTAGCTTCTTCGTTGATCACCTACACCCACAGATTCAAAATCTTTATATGAACCATACAGCAAGCATCCAATGCCTCGCATTGAGAGCAAATCAACTACTTTTAATAGCCTTTTTCCAACCCTCCATTCCAAAACATCTATAATCAATAATTATTTAAGAACCAGTTGCATGTTAAATATCAGTGCTTGGTATATGTATTAATTGTTTCTTCCCTATGTTTTTTTGGGTCAAATCCTAGTCCTTCGAGCATTAATATGCGAATGCTTTCATCTTTCCCTAGTATCCAAATCTTCATTTGGTATTCTGTTCTCTGCCTCTTTCCCATTCTGTCTCATCATTTGCTTGAATGAACAGTGCTTAGCCGTAGAAAATATTATCAAAATGCTTTTATTAGCTGTCTTTTATAACAAGTAGTAGCTTCATCTGTAAGAGCTGTTTAGGATTGTCTCTTTTATCTGATGGCTTATAACAGTAGGCGAAAGAAATTTATGTGTTGTGTGAGTACTGATGTTGCACATGATTTGCATTATGAAATGGTGCATTAACTAGGAAAAATGAGTTTATTTATCAGTGCTCTTGTCTGGAAGTGTAATGCATCAGTTTCATGGATTTTGAAATAAGATTGACAAAGTTTCAGAAAATATAGAGAAATTTTCCCCTTATTTATAAAAAAGAAGGAAAAAGAATATCCGGCGACGAGTGAAAAGCTCTCTCTGGGTGACTCAGTTGTAATCTTACTAATAATTGAGTGACCTTTGGTGTAATTTATCCACCATATAAATTCTGTGTAATTAAAATGTCATTCCTTGCTCAGAACCTGTCATTTCCTTGTTACATATTTTAGCAATTGCACTTGTTGCGTAATGAACTTTAATATTCAGGCATCTCCAATAACAATCGGAGACCGTCAAGCTGTTGTGGAGATAAAGAGAACTTCAACCAGAGGTAAGTAAGAACACTATGAACTTATTGGTATACTCGATAGTGATTCAAGCATTGTAACTTCGATACGTGTATGTGTTTGACACGAGTATGTCAACCTTTTTAACTAATTCTATGTATTTGGAAGCTCTTGAGAAGAACATACTGCGTCCAGATACACGTTGGACATGAATAATTGAAGAAAATTGATGAGTTGAGAGCAACATAAGATTTGAAGATAAAGTTTCTCTTGAAATATTGTTTGATTAATTTGTGATGGTTAATATTGTAACTGCATGAATTATAAAGGTTGAACTCGTCTGATAGTTGCTGGTCTTTGCTGTTGTTTCTTACAGTTGGTAGTGAAAGAGGTAGCTTCCCTTCCAGAAGAGGAGGGTTTCGAGGTGACAGCTTCAGGGGCCATGGAAACTATGTTGGTAACCGAAGCTTTGGCAGAAACGAATACGGAAACCATGGTGAATTTTCTGGTTGGCCAAGAGGTTCAGCTTGGCGTGGAAGGGTTGGTCGTTCAAGAGGAGCGAATCAGACTCCCTTGAATTCAAACCCAATCTAATAAAACTCGTATTTCTTGGCAGAAAAAGCTTGAGGATGAGGTTAGAACTCAACATTTAGGACATTATTCGAGTTGCTGACTTTGATCGTAGGCGTCGAGGAGAAACGCAGTGGTGTAGCTTAGAGAATGTTGTGTAGGGCATCACAAACTTAAAGCTCATCCTCAAGATTTGATTATTTGATTACTATTATTTTACTTTTGATGGATATCACTGGGCTTGTTTTTAGCTGTAAAGTGATGGGCAGCTTCAAAATTCATGATGGACAGCCTTTCATTTATTTTTACTTCACTATCTTTTATTTGATCAAGTGAATATGATTTCTTCTTCTTCTTCTTTTTAGACCGAGAATTATGTCAATGAACACGGCACATTAACTATGTACATAAGGGCACAATTAAATCTTCTGTCGATATATTTGTTCAAGCTGATAGTTGTTATTGGCCATAATGGTAAATAAATCATTATCTCTGTTCTAACTACGCGATAATGGTAGAAAATGCTAATAATCCTTTTTTCAAATTTCCTGAATCTTTTAACGATACACTATAATAATCAAATGCAATATTTCTTCTAATGATACAACTTTTTAGTCAGAGTTTACGAGTTCTATTTTGTAACCCAAATTTTATTTATAAAACTTCGAGTTGAGTCTTTAGTCTAATTGCTTGGGTTTTTATTTAAATTTAAATTATAAATATCTATTATATTATGGTACTAATTGATTCTAATTTAAATAACTTTATATATAATTATATATCATTCAAAGTTAGATGATTCAACTCGAACTTACACATCAATTCATTAGTTACTAATTTTTTTAAAATTATTCGAACCATATTTTATAGCTCAATTTTTTTTTCTAATTGAGGCTTTTTAATAGCTTTAATTGACTTTATAAAATGAGTTAAATCGTATATTACGTTTCAATTTTTTTGATTTTTCAAGTTTTACATCCTACTGTTGATATTAGTCGGATGAAATCATCACTTCAAATTATACGGCGTAAACAACTAATTTTTTTTTATAACAATTGAAGAGTAATGAAATTTTTTATCAGTTGAAAAACAATAAAAAAATCTAGTAAGTTGATTTATGTATATAAACCATTTCTTGCTTTGATATCCCACCAACGTGAGATACGATTTTTCTCATTTTCCTTACACGATACAATTCATATGTACTCTACTTTGAGCATCAATTTCTCATTAATCACTCAATCATTTTGAGCATACGAGATACCGTTGTAAAGACCTCAATAAGTAGAATATGAATTGATAAATTCATTATTCGATTCTCGATCTTTACACTTAGAAAATATACCTCAAAGTTCCTAATTTTTCACATTTTTCAATATTTTTTATGTAGGCAAAAATAATAAATATATTTTTACTAAAATTACTTTCCTTTTTCTAATTAAATAAAAAATTTAATTAATTAAAAAACAGTAAAATAATATTTAAATTCAGTAAATGTACACGTTTGTAATTGTGGTTTATAAAAAAACTAGATATATTTAAAATATATATGAATGGACGGAAAAAAAGAGAGTCGAGACATTCATTTTCATTTGAAAATTTTAAATTATTATATATTTTATATTTTTTTATTATAAATTAATAAATTTGTTTGTCCCTATAATTTTAGAAGCTCACTTCCTATAATAAAATTTTACATATGTCTATATATGGCAAATCTCTCGAGATAATATTCTCGAAATAATTATTTCATGAGATAATGCATTCCCCATATTATTTGCTGAAATAGGGTGAAATCCACAGTGTTGGCCGTAGGTCGTCATGCCTTCCGGGCGACCTTGTTCATAGGTCGCCATGCCCTTCGGGCGACCTTGTTTGTAGGTCGCCATGCACTCCCAGCCCCCTTGTACGTCCAGAAAATGATGCATGTGCCATGCATGACGTCCAACAGAGAGAGAATGATGGCTATGGATGGCAAACGGGCAAGTCGGATGTGGATACCCCCTCCCCCATACCCACCTAATATTTTTCAATCCACCACCCGCCCACCACCATGATGGGTACAAATTTTCAAATCCACACCCGCCCACGCGGGTACATTCTCAAATCCATCCCCATACCCACTATCCACTAGCGACGTACCCGTCTAGACCCGCCTAAAAACAAACTTAAGTTATACATAAACAACAAACATAAAAAAAACATGTCCATTAAGAAATATAATAAAACAAACGGAAAAATAAGTAACTATTTTTAGAAATAAGACTTTTTAAAAATATATATAATAAGTTGAAACATATAATTATCCTTTGTTTTTCCCTTTCGAATTTTATGATCTTACTGGTTCTTTTGTACTTCCACGTTCAACATTTGAGCTGGTCACTTAGCTCTTCCTACTTCATACCAAACAAAATAGTATAGATTCGACAAACATCCTAACAAAATTCAGACCAAATCATCAAATGATGCCAAAATACTCTAATTAACACTAACAAAAGCAAGGTAACTAGAGCTTTAAAATTGTAAGACAGGTCCCTATAAAAACGTTTTTTATAGACGACGGGCGAGTGAAACAACATAAAGAACATTAACAAGGTAAACTTAAGGCATTACAAATAGCATTTGAAAATTCCAAGACATCAAAATAAAAGATAAACGAGTCCAGATACATACACAAGAGTAAGACCTCCAATTTGTAACAAAGAATCCGGGCAGGGTCCAGTAAGGCTATTATTGTTTAATTGTCTGATACGTCCAGCAAGAACAAGGGAAAATACATATAAGAAACAGAGCTACTAGAAAGAAACTCGACAGGGAGATGAATATGATGAAAAAGTAGTAAAAAATATGGACACTTACAAATAGTTGAGGTTTTTCAAGTCTCCGAAGGAAGTCGGTATTTCGCAACTGAGAGTATTTTTGGAGAAATCAAGAGTCTGTAGCTTCTCTAACTTCCCAATCGTAGCCGGAATCGGACCCGAAATAGCATTATTCTGAAGCAACCTGCTCATGAAAAAAGAACAAACAAGTAATTACTTAAAAAAATGCAGGAAATTTGAGTCACAAAAAAAAGGAAAGCCCAAAAGTACATGAAAGATTAGCTAAATTTATATGCAACTTAATCAACAAAGGCAATTAACTTACACTGACTGCAGCTCACTAAGGTTCCCAATCAATGGAGATAAAGTTCCAGACAAGCTTTGACTAGGAAGGCCCCTGGTCAAGGTAGAAAAGATAGGAGTTTACACAAATACTAGGTTTATTTTCCTATATCAGTGTGAAGTGCTATTAAAAATAGACCAGATATGAAGAGAAGAATTACAAAGAAGAAACATAGCCATATGGAGAGCAAGTAATTAATGGTTCTTGATATATGAAAAACCAGCGAACTATAGGAATCAAAGTTGGGTTTTTGTAGATTTGAGGCACAGAGACTAAAGATTAAAGATTAAAGAAGAATAAGAAACGTACGTGAAGAGTGGAGACTAGGAAAGATCGGCGCAATAACAAGATTAAGATTAAAGAAGAGATCATATTAAGACTAAATATCCCTAATATTTAGTTAAATTACATGTTATATCTTATACAATATTAAAATTTATAAATTAGTCTATAAAATTACACCTAAATTTATAATGATCCAAAATTTAATGGATATTTAGCGGGGCGGCGGATGCGGGGCGGATGTGGGGCTGGTAATGACTCAAACCCATTACCCGCCCACTACCCGCAATGGGTATCAATTTCTAAATCCACACCCGCCCACTACCTGCTAAAATTATACCCATCCCCGCCCCAATTGAAACGGGTGCGGTGCGGAATCCACAAAACTGTACCCATTTGCCATCCCTAATGATGGCCAACACTCCCACATAGGTCACCATGCCTTCCGGGCGACCTCCAATGTCACCATGCACGTCGACATGCTTGGTCGCCATGCACGCCCGACGACCAAGCTTCTGCTCCCTCGTGCCATAGCTTCGAGACTACCCCCTCTCGCTATCATAGCTGCATTGTTACAACGTAAAATCAGCTGCTACATGCAACAATTAGTGCTGCATTATTGCAGCGTTCAACGGTTGAAAAATTTGCAGCCTTTAACGTGAATTATTGAGCTCACATTGATTGCAGCTTAAAACCGTGCAAAGATCATTATATATTGGATATGAGGGGTTTAGGGTAGAATCATAAGAAAGAAAGAAAATTCGGCGAGAGAAAGGAAAGGAAAGGAAAGGAAAGGAAAAGAAGAAGAAGAAAGGGAGATAAAGGCTCAAACATTGTTCGTGAGGTAATTTTTTATTGTTTAATTTAGTTTATTATATGAAATAATTAGTTTGTTAGTTTAGGGTTTAGGGTAAAACAGAAATTTAGTTAATTAGTTTGTTAGTATAAATGATTAGTTTGTTAGTTTAAGTTATATTATATTAGTTTGTTAGTTTAAGTTATATATTAGATTATATAAAAAATTAGTTAATTAGTTTCTTAGTTTAAGTTATTAAATATTTAATTAATTTGTTAGTGTGTTTAAACGTATATTAGGTTGTTTGTTGAAGTTTAAGTTATATTATAAAAAAATTAATTAGTTCTTAATTAGTTTGTTATTTTAACTAAGTTATATTATAATAATGAAATAGTTTATTAGTTTAAGTTATATTATAATATATTTAGATTATATTAAATTAATTTGTTTAATTTATTGTTGTTTAAAGAAATATTTTTTACACGTACATGACATTATTCCACAACATTTGCCTACGTACAGATTGATTCAAAGAAAGAAACAAGAAAGGAAATGAAGAAGGCATAAATACGGGGTAATTTATTATTTTTTGTTGTTGTGTATGTGTAAATTAGTTAGTTAGTTAGTTTATATTAGATTATATAAAATTAATTTGTTTAATTTATTTCCGTTTAAAAAAATATTGTGTTTAAAAATATTTAGTTTAATTTATATTAGATTAAGTGTAAATTAGTAAGGAGTAAAAATTGAATGAAATATAATCTTAAAATTTATAACAATTAATTAACAATTTTGTTTGATATTTTTAAAAATAAAAATATTATAAAACTAATCATTATTATTAGTAGTCATTACTAAATGAGTAGTATCCAATCTAAATCATTAAATATTTATAATAAATAATTATTAGTAATCATGGACTAAATCATATTATTATTAAATCATTAGATTAATAATAATTATTAAATCATTATTAGTAATATTAATAATCAATCAATCAAGTTAAATAAAAAAAATTATTTTATCGTTAATATAATAGTATATTATATTATATTTAATTATTTAATGATTTATGAAATTATCTTATCTAATTTTTTTTAATCTAAATTTATACATTTTTTTATTTGTAGAGAAAATGAGCAACAATTTTTTCACGATTGTCCATTATAATGGACATATTATGGAAAATGAGGTCAGAGTTGTTTTCAGTCTGAAAACCAATAAATATGATGTTCAAAAAAGACATCACATTTATAGAAATGAATCAGAAGATAGAAAGAAAAATTTGAGCTGCGGTGGATAGTTTGAGGTACAGATTTATGATATGTCCCAACCCAGTCAGATATGTTGCAGTTCCACTTGAAGAAGATGATGATATTGGAACCATGATTGGATTACATGAGTCAACCAATATAGCAGTTATTGAGTTATTTGTTGATGTGCGTAACATATGTGATGTTCCTGGGTCATCAAGAGATGTGGCTCAAAATTCATCTGAAATGACTTTCGATCGTGAGTTTGAGTACCCGACATACATGTTCCAGAATAGTTTATGCAACTATTAGAAAGTGGAAATGAAGTCGGAGGGACATCTGCAACAGTAGAGTATGAGACGAGAAATATACCAGAATTGGCTGTTGATATTGATGCTGAAAATCGATGGGGAGAAATTCATGATGATTCAAGCAAAGATGAAGAAACCGAAGAACCCGTTTTGGGAGACGATGAATTTTTTTCCTGTGGAGGTGCAATTGATGAAGTTCTGACACCGTATGAAGTTACTCCTCACATGTACGAGATAGACTATGATGCGATGAGGGCACCTAAATTCCCAGGCATGCCACATTTACCTCCATACCAAATGGTTGAATCATTTGATAATTCTGGTGAATTTTCAGTTGGGGTGCAATTCAGAGGAAAAATGAAGCTACGTTGACGATTAAAGAGTACTGCATCAAATGCCATGTTGATGTCCATGTTGCAGAGTCAAGCCAGAAAACCCTATACGCAAAGTATGTAAAATATGGCCCAGAGTGCAAGTGGAAGATCAGAGTGTCGAAAAATCAAAGGCACAATGCTTGGGTCATCACGAGGTACAATGGTCCGCACACATATTTACGAAACTCCATCGAACAAGACCACCGACTATTGGATTCTATGTAATATGCGAATACGTGAAGGCGATGGTTGAAAAGGATCCAATGATATCTTGTCAGTGTTAGCTGCATCTATTCGAAGTCAATTTGGATATCAAGTAAAATATGGCAAGGTGTGGAATGCGAAGATGATGACAATGAAGCTGACGTATGGAGATTGGGATACATCGTACAATGATCTACCACATTTGCTACAAGCAATGAAGTGATTTATCCTAGGAACCATAGTGAAGTCTCAAACCATGCCCGCATATGAAGAAGAAGGTCAACTTGTGCCAGGGAAGAAAATATTTCATAACTATTTTGGGCATTCAAGGCATGTATTAAAAGATTTCCATTTTGCAAACATATGATCCAAGTAGATGGTACGTGGTTGTATATTCAATATAGGCATGTACTCTTGATGACAGTTGCGCAAGATGGTGAGCAAAATATCTTCCTAATTGCATTCACCATTGTTGAGGGAGAGACAACAGAGGCTTGGGATTTCTTTATGACCAATCTACGTCAATATGTCGTTCGTGAAGATGGAGTTTGCTTGATATCCGATAGAGGAACGAGTATTTTGGCGGTAATTGAATGACCAAGAAGTCATTGGATACCACCATATGCATATTCGACATTTTGTATCCGTCATATTAGTAAAAATAGTATCGACCAGTTTCATAACGCACACATTCGTAGCGAGATAGTCAGCATGGGTAAGTTTTATTTTCAATATTTGTGCATTTTTTACGTGGTTTTTTTAATTTCGGTTTAACACAATATATTATGAAACAGGATACGAACTACGTCGACCAAATTTTGACAAGAGATTGGAGAATTTGAAGGTATTTTACGATGATCAGCATGTTTGGAAGTGGGCTTCAAAAATACCTCGGGAAAAATGGTCGCAAGCATACGATGAAGGTAGGAGATACATACATATGACCACAAACCTTACTGAGGCCATTAATTCGGTACTAAAAGGTACACGCCATCTCCAATAGCGAGTGTGGTGAAAGAGACGTACTTTAGATTGGCTAAGGTTTGGTCGGATAAAGGAAAGGAAATTGAGAGTCTTATAAATAGAGGTAAAACTTGGGCTCCTATAATGGTGGAATCAATGGAAGCAAATGAACGATTGGCAACATCAATGGTTGTTCATAATTTTGACCGAGTTGGTCATACTTTTGTCGTGTCGTGCATACGCCATAACGTCGGATGAGAAGACCAAACATTTAGAGTTGATTTACGACACAAATGGTGTGATTATGGTCGTTTTCAGGCATGTAAATATCCATGTGCTCATGCAGTCGCTGCATGTAAGCGTTGGTGTAAGCGCATACACTTATGTTGATGAATGCTTTCACCTACGTAGGATATTAAATGTCTACAGCTATGCGTTCAGAAAGATCCCGAATGAATCATATTGGCCCAAAAAATCATGACGAATGGTTGCCAAATACAATGCTTCGCAGAAGTCCAAAGGGTCGACCTGAGTCCACTCGTATTCATACCAGTATGAATTTCCATGCTAGAGAAAGAGGTTAAGCAAAGAGATGCGGATTATATAGGGGTGAAGGCCATTCAAAAAACAGTTGTCCTAATTTACCAAGATACATGCCTCATCATTAATAATCATATATGTATTTCTATGTATTTATTCGGATTTAATTTTGTAATGATTTATAACTCGAGGACTTGAACATATTTGAATGGACGCGTGGTTAAATTAACCATATTTTCGTTACATAACTAATACTCATCCATGGAACACTTGTTTGATTTATAATAATGATATGATTTGATTTACTAATGATTTGATAATCATGATTTAATAATTTTTTTATTTTTAAAATTATAATAATTATTTAGTAATGATTAGTAATAATGAAATTATTATTAATATTTAATGATTTAGTAATGATTAGTAATAATGAAATTATTATTAATATTTAATGATTTGATAGTAATGATTA